AGAAGGCTCTCCTCCGGGTAGTCGCCAGCCGGCATTGGCCGGCGGATGGAATTCGGAGGAGGCCTAATCTGTGGGATCTAATCGGTCTATTGGAGGTGATTGGCAGCAGGATCTCCTGCTTGAGCTGGGGGTTGGACTAGAAGGCCTCCAAGGTCCCTTCCAACTCTTGTTATTCCTTGTGGGCATTATCTTGGTTTGCTTTTCACAGCTCACTCGACTTCTTTAAACAATGCACATTTTGCACCATTGGGTGCCAAGTTATAATGTACCTTCGGTGCGGTTTTTAACCTTTTAGAACGTTTTCCCCAAAGGTGGCCAGTTTACAGAGAGCGAACTTCAACTCCCAGAATTCCCTCGCCTGGAATTCCAGCTGGGGAATTCTAGGAGTTGAAGTCAACACGTCTTCAAACAGGGAAACCCCTTGGGGTAGACCCAGGCCAGGGAGGCAGATGGTTAAACACCGCAGAGCTCACCTGGCAGGGTTGTTGTGAGCGTTAAAAAGGTGTGTGTGTAGTTCTCAGCCTTGGCAACTTGAAGAGAGGTGGACTTCAACTCCCAGAATTCCCCAGCCAGCAGAGCTGGCTGGGGAAATCTGGGAGTTGAAGTCCACCTCTCTTCAAGTTGCCATGGTTGAGACACTCTGTTCTGAAATCTCCCCAAATTTTGTTTTTTTTTTCCAGGCCTTCGGACCGAGCAAGATCTCTACGTGCGGCTCATTGACTCCATGTCCAAGCAGGTAACAACGCCCTGTGCTTGGGGTGTGATGGGGAAGCATCCGTAACACATCTCTGGCCGGGCTTAAAAGGCTCAGAGTTAATGGGTCTGGGATTCAGAACAAGCACACACCACAACGCCCATTCCAAGCTCCTCCAAAGGACGCCGGGAGTTGTAGTTTGGAGGAAGCTGCCACGAACAGCTTCCTTTCCCAAGGAGGCACGGCCTTCCCAGCATCTTGGCCATATATTACAGATAGTCCTCCGTTGCTAAGCAAGGCAGTTGTTAAGTGAGTTTTTGCCCCCATTTTACGGACCTTCCTTCCGAACAAGTCAACGGGGAAGCCAGTTTCACTTAACAACCATGTTACTAACTTAGCCACTGCAGCAATTCACTTAACAAAGGTGGCCAGAAAGGTTGTAAAAACAGGGCGAATCTCACTTAACAAATTTCTCACTTAGCAGCGTACATTTTGGGCTCCTTGTGGTCCTACGCTGACGACTACCTGTATTGTATTTTTTTTTTAATTTTTTAAAAATTTTATTAGTAAAAAAAAATACAATACAGGTAGTCGTCAGCGTAGGACCACAAGGAGCCCAAAATGTACGCTGCTAAGTGAGAAATTTGTTAAGTGAGATTCGCCCTGTTTTTACAACCTTTCTGGCCACCTTTGTTAAGTGAATTGCT